AATCCAGAAAAAAGTAATGAGAATCCACTCTCTTTGAGGGCCATGTGTATTTTACCTATCCTGGCTCCCACAGAGCCTGGCCCAGCGTGGGTGATGGATGCCTGCTGTGGAATGAATAGATATATGTATGTATGAATGAATCTGTAATACTCCTTCATGTCCCCCAACCCCCGTCACCTTGATCCCACCTCAGCTACATTCTATTTGTCAAAGTGGAGGCCAGGAGGCAGAAGGGCTTCCTAGGACATTTTGTTTCTGTTCTGGTCTAGGACACAACACGATGACCGGGCAAACAGATGGCTTGATCATTTAACATTGTTCTATTTCAAGCAAAACGTCCTGGCAAGATGGATGCTCAGTGACTCCAACCTGCTACAAAGATCTTTGGAATTAACTCCTCTGGGTTTGGTCCTGCCTGACAAACACATTCCCCAAGCGACTGTCTTTCCTGGTCCCCCGAGAGGCTGCTGCAAGTGCAAACACTCGCTCCTCTTAGCCAAAGGAGAACTGGGGTCTCTACTCTCAAGGAAGAAAAAGGAGAAGCATCAGTGGCAGTGGCTGCTGGCCCGGGAGGGCCCAGCTTGCTAAGCACTTGCTCCCACCTGGAGAGCCTTGCTGGGACTTTGCCACCCTGCCCTCTTCCTGGGAAGGGGGGGTGGGCAGAGGCTGTGGGGCTGGCCTGTGTGGACAGAGGTGGGTGAGACGATGGGGATGGATGCCTGCTCATTGCATTGGAACAAATGACTCCTGTGCCTGCCAAATGGATGCCAGAGGAGCTGAGAAGCTAAGGACTTTGCTCATGCCTGTGAAAGTACCGGCCGAGAAACAGACTGGCGAGCAGGGGCCTGATGGTGACTGCCAAGGGCTGGACAGTGGCAGGGGTGGGGGACAGGAAGGATGCTGGGCTCCACAGAAGCTTCCCAGTCCCTGAGTGACTCTCAGGGCCTTATTCTTTACAACAGGGTGATAGCCAGATATTTAACCGGGTGGATAGGCACTAGCCAATCAGAACACAGGCGGGTTTCATTGCCTGGGTCTCAGCTGCACCTGGCCTTCATCCCTTCGCTGCTGGAAGGTGAGAGTGATGGGGAGGGCTTGGAGGAAGGGCGAGGGTACAGGAGTGGGAGGGGCCTTGGGGAGCTCAGAGCAGCCACGGTTTACCCATCAGTACAGGCCCCTTTCAGTGTTAACAGCCAGTGTGGCCACACTCCTGCTGAATGTCAGCTCTGCTAGAAAGCGCGAGACAGGCTGGCTCAGTTCTCACACTCCGTGTGCACAAGAATCACCAGGAGCCTGTTCACCACACAGATGCGGGTTCCCACCTCGAAACGACTGGGGCCCACTCTCCGAGGTCCACGTGCAGCCCATCATGCTCCCTCACGTGCCCTGGGCCAGCTGCTCTCTAAGGATCCAGCTCTGAGGGTCAGGGGTTTGTAAGCACTTGGAGGTGAAGCCTAGCACACGGTGTGTAGGGGAACGTGGGCAAGTCAGGGGCAGGTCACGTGCCCACGCCAGCCCGGCAGGTCCATTTGGCTGAAGCAGCCTTGGGCCTGGCCCAGGCCCCAGATTGCTGCCGCTCAGGAGGGCAGGCCTGGTGTGATCCTGAATTTTCAAGAGACGTTGGAAGGCAGCGAGCCGTGTCCTGCGTCTCAGCGTCACAGGTAGGGAGGGCATTGCTCTTCGGGCCAGTGGCGGGCAGAGGGTTGTGCTGGTCCCACCAGAGGAGGGAGGAGACCAGCCCTAAGTTTGGGTGTGGATGCCCCTTAAGGAATCCATGTCCTCAAGTTCGAACCTCAGAGCCTGCCCTGGGCAGCTTGCCTGGCACAGAGGTGCCAGGTCCGTCACAGGTCGAGGGGCGCCCTGGCTAGAGACTTAGAGTTTAGGGGGGGAGAAGGGGGAGAGGGAAGGAAAGAGTGGGGGGGGGGGCGGATAGAACTGTTACGGGAGGAAATGTTTGGCTCAGACGAAAGGCGCTGGGGTTCTGCCCAGGATCCCTGGAATGTTCCACAGAGGGGTGGGTTCTCTAAGTGTAAAAGAACGTGCCTGGATCGCTCCATTTACACTCAGTCTCCAGGTGCTTTCCCCCTGCCTGGGACAGCCTTCCTCCTCCCCTTTCTCCGTCTGACTCTTACTTGTCCTCCAAGACCCATGGCTGTGCTATAAGATTGTGCTATAACCTCCATGACTAGGCCACGCTGGTCTTTTAACACCACAGCTCTGGGCGCGCCCGTATTTTAGACTTCCTCACCTGGAAGTCTTCCTCCATGGCTTCTTTCCTCAAAAAAAATTCACGTCTAACATTTGTTACATGTTTGCCAGCACGGCTTAAGGCACGTCATAGTTCCATCTCAGTTAGTCCTCACAACAGCCCACTGAAGCTGCACGGTTATCCTCTCTATGTAAGCAAGCAAGGCCCAGAGAGGTTAGGTGACTTGCCCAACATCACACTGCCAGGAGGTGGTATATGCGAACTTGAACCCAGTCTGTGTGCAACACCTGCCACCACAGCGCCCTGCTGCCTCCCGCGGTCTGCCACCAGCATCCTGGGTTCATGTGGCAGGGTCCCAAGTGGGAGGGGAAGGGAGGTAGCTTGAACTCGGGGGTGTGGGCAGCTATCAGTCTCGCTCTGCCACTGCCTGTGGGTGCTCTTCAGCCTCGGTGTCCTGGGCTCTATAGGGGGGACAGTTACACCTGCTCATAAGGTAGTTGGGAATCATTGCTGTGCTGGGCACATAGGCAATGTCTGAAACGTGTTGACGGGATAAATGATTGGAGGCACCGGTGAGTTGAACTTTTACTTGGAAATAACACCCTCTTGCCTCTTTCAAAACCCCATTTGACTCCACAGAGATGGGATTTGGTTTGAGGCTGGGCATGGTGAAGAGGGCAGGTGGAGTGGGGATGGCCAGCCTTTGGAGCTGTTTAGTTTTCAGAGAAGTAGCCCTAGAGAGCGAGAGGACAATGGGAAGAATATGGTTTCACTTGGGAAGCATGAATTGCATCTGTTACATCCAAACAACCTGCTTGTCAGCCCCAATGGTTAAAAATGATCTGGATCCATTGCTACTGAGTTGGCTGGTCATGCCCTATACTTGCCACTCTGGGTGTAGAGTAGATTGCTAAACTTATCTGGGTGATTTTTTATTTATTTATTTATTTTTATTTATTTTTTATAAAGATGAGTTGTAGGAACTCCTATCATCCCATGTCTCCCTGTCCTTGTGTCTTTCTCCCATTTTTCACATGGGTCATTCAGTGAGGCGTGGAATTGGGATGCTGGTTCTGTGGGGTAGACATGGGTCTGATCCAGGTCTGACACATGTGCACGATTCCTCGATGGGATTATGGTTTTGTTTTTGTCTTATTAGGAGCTGGAAAAGTCTGTGGACGATTCACTTTGTCAAGTGTGTGGGTGGATGTGTAAAGTATGTGTTTTTATACCCAGACCTTGAAGAAGTGGGGATTCTTCAAGAAGGGGGATGTTGTAAGCAGACCTGCCTTTTGTTAAGGGCACCCTGCATTAGCAGCGAATGGCATTGGTGCATTAAAGTGCCCGCATTGATGGGAATGCAGTGAATGTGACGTTTCCTGAGAACAGGCGGGGTCTGACAGCGCTGCCTTAGCCTCTGGGACGCCCTCCTGCCATTGACAAGGCTGCCTGGGTGTCCCGCTTACGTCAGCCCCTTCCTAGTGGGGTCACCTAGTTGTGCAGACTTGCCCTTCTTCTTCGCTTGTCAGGAATGTCAAGGCCAATCTCTCCTCTTTGAAATTCTTTCCTGATGCTTTCCCCCAATCCTCTCTTTCTCTCTCATCATTTCCCTGCTGTCTCTCTCTCTCCAGGATTTTCCTCCCCTTCCTTCTCCTTTTCCTCTCCAACATCCTTTGTCTAGTTCAGGGGTAGGAGACCTTTTTTTTTTTCTGCCAAGGGCCATTTGGATATTTATGACATCATTCTCGGGCTATACAAAATGATCAACTTAAAATTCAGCCTGCTATATTTGGTCAAACATTTAATTAACTCACCCCTAATGCCTCGGCAGGGCCAGACCAAATGATTTCTCGGGCCTTAAACCGCCCTCGGGCCAGACGTTCCCCACCCTTGGCGTAGTCCCTTTGATAGCGGCTTTCCTCTACGATGTGCCCCCACCCGAGCCATGGGCTGGCATCTTCCCACCAATACAGATGCCTTATCCTTTTCAGGGGTCCTCAAACTTTTTAAAGTGGGGGCCAGATCACGGTCCCTCAGAGAGCTGGAGGGCCGGACTATATGAACTACTAATTCCTACTGTAACACCTCGGCTGCGCTCACTGCCCAAAAAACCTGGCGGGCCGGATCAGACTCCTCTGCGGGCCGCAGTTTGAAGACGCCTGCGTGAGACAGCTCGTCTTCCCCCGAGGAGAAGGAGTTAAAGGAGCTAAAGAGCATTGCAACACAAACAGAGTATCTGCCTAAACCCAAAGCCCTCTGCCTACAAGCGATTTGGAAGCTCGCTGTGCCTTCCTGGGAAGGTCAGCCTATGGCTGGATGGCTTGTCCATAGTACCACACGGCACCACATCCACAGCTGCCTGCTCCCTGTTGCTCTCTCGTGTAAGATGGCACGTGGGAAATGGATTGAAAACCTTGCAGCGGGATAAGCATTTGATACTAGGTCAAAGGAGCAACGCCAACACTCCCACCACCACGGCCCACTCCTGAGCAAAGGCCCTTTCTGGACACCACACCGATTCCACACAGAACACAGGCAAGAGCACACACACACCAGGCTGGGGGCAGGGCGGGCAGGATGGTCTCCCACTCTTTGGTCTGAGCAGTGGGCCTTGCTGTGTAGGGTCATTCTTTGGGAAGGCCCAATCTCCCCTCCCACCCAGGACAGGAGTCCCCGCCCCCACCGCCCCTTTCCCAGAGATAACATGGGCAGACCAAGGACCCAGGCTCGAGCACCCAAAGAATGGCAGGACACCCTCAGTGGAGGCAGACTGTATTTAAATGCAATTCACCTCTTTGGGGCCTAGGAAAAGCCACCCGTAGATTCATTTGCTAGGAAACGTGGTCTGTGTGGCGGAGGCGGTGGACACCGGGGGCACGGTCTTGCTGAAAGCCGACTTCCTTCGGGGGTCGGTCTGCTGCCCGGAATGGCAGCCGCTGCGGTGGGCGAATAGGATGGTCATCTCGGGGCCCGAGGGGGCGGCTTCGGGCTGGGACCCCTTGTGGGTGGCGGGATGTTCAGGCTTCCCGGAGGTGCTGTGTTTGGTGGGAGGAGGGCTATAATTCTGAAATCTCACGGTCTTGACTTGCTGTGAGAGGAAGAGGAACAAAGGGACGAAGGTGAGGTGGGAGGCATGGTATTATCCCTGGGACCGGGTCTATGCTGATTCTCCACACGGGGCCTGCCTCACAGCCTCATTTACGTGTTCATTCAAGAACGGCGTGCATCTACTATGCATTGGGTACTCTGCGAGGAGCTGCGAACCAAGAGTGAACACAGTTGTCTTTGACAAAAATAACCACAATCGCCAGGATGGGGGACATATAGATGCTCAATGCAGATGAGTATGAAACTAAAGCAAAAAGGCAGGTATTCAGGAAAGGCTTCCTAGAGGCAGAGCTGGTTCAGTTGAGAACTGAAGATCCATTAGGAATTATCTAGAAGAAATCTGGTGGGCCTGACTGAGCAAGGGCCCGAGGCCAGAGGGGCTGGTCTATTCTAGGAAGTGTCAGTTCCCCTTCCCTCTCTCCTTTCCGCCTACCATAGAGGTCTAACTCAAGGCGCCCCCTTCCTGAGGCCACCCTGCTGATTCCAGCTAGAGAGCCCCCAGGCTGAGAAGTCCTCAGAGTCGTTTGCACACTGGACACCTGTGAGCTGAGTTCAGCCTGCAGAATGTTTGAGAGCCGTAGGAAGTTGGGAGATCACATATCGAAATCAATCTTTTGTACGTCTCTTTAAAAATCAGAGACCCGGCAGCTGGGCCTGAGCCCCATTTTGGCAACAACTGATTAGCAGTCTCTCTCCATAGGGAGGCGTGTCTCCTGTTTGCACAAGCCTGCCTCTCCTTCCTTCCATCTCTCCTGGCCTGTTACCCACCTGCCTGGTGCCCACAGGATTAGCTTTGGTCAGTCCCTGTCTCAGGGCTGAATAGTGTGTTCTGCCTACTGCTCGGGAATGATTTCTTTTTCTCCAGGAAATTTGATCCTGGTGTCCCCCACCAAGAATCCACGTTTCTTTACACTACCAGTGGTTGGCAAACTCATTAGTTAACAGAGACAAATATCAACAGTATAACGATTGAAATTTCTTTTGAGAGCCACATTTTTTAAACTTAAACTTCTTCTAACACCACTTCTTCAAATAGACTCACTCAGGTAGTGGTATTTTGTGGAAGAGCCACAATCAAGGGGCCACATGTGGCTTGCGAGCCGCAGTTTGCCAACCATGGCACTAGACCGGGACCATGTCTAGCAGAGGTCTGGGTACTTGCTGGACGCTTGCAGTTTGAAGGCTGTATCTAACAGCTTGGAGGTGGGGTGGAGGGGGGGGGGGGCGGGGAAGATGGGCAGTTGGGGCCTGGAAGATTCTGACTTACTTGAAAACTAGATTCAGGAAAAACCCCCACTTTCTGACATTTCCATTGGTCAGCACCAACTTTTCCCAAACTCTGTTTTCTACAAACTCAGTGTCAGGAGCATGAGTTTCTGTATTATCGATAGTTCCGGATTCCTCAGCAGACACTTGTGCATCTGCCGTGTGCCTTTGGGTAATGTACCCTAACTCCTTAAACCTCCACGTCCTCATGTTAAAAGGAGGATGACAGTGATAACACTGCTTCTTTAGAGGGCTGTTGTTAGGATGCAATGAGATAGAACACGTGAAGCAATTAGCACGGTCCCCGCCAGGCCATTAGCAGCAGTAAGTGTGTGACAAGAAGGAGCCACATCACCTTTCCAGTTCCGGGGGAATAGACAGTGGCGGCGATGCTGTGATAGTCAAGAAACTAAAAACTAATAAGCATTGCCTAACTTCTTCATGTCCGCATCCTCCTCCCTCCATCCCTCCTGCTTCAAGGACAGTAACAAAATCTCTTCCGTCTGCTAGTGGGAAAAGCCCTGAAGTAGAAAGGAACAGGTTTGACCTCTGCCACAGAGGTCATGGTGACAGTTGTCATAATTGAGTATGACATGAACAATTCTGTGTCAAGCCCTCTGTAAGTGCTATACACATCTTTACTCACTTAATCTCCACCCCAGCCCTATGAGGCTGTTACTAGTATGCTTACTGCCACCATTCTACAGATTACAAAAAAAAAAAAAAAGTCTCAGAAAGGGGAAGTGTTTGGGCCAAAGTCACCAGCTAGTAAGTAGCAGCAGAGCTGGAATTCAAATCCAGATTTCTCTGATGCCTAAGCCATGTTTTCCCCCAAGCCATCTTGTGCCTTGAAAGAAGTGTTTGAAATATTCAGAGGAGATGTGAGGATGCAGAGGGGGCTGCGTGGAAGGGCTCTTCAGAGGCAGTCATTTTGACTTCTCGTCCACTAAGACTAAAATCTCAGGAGCTGGGACCCTGAGCCATGCTGGGGGTCTGAAGAGCCATGCCCCCCAAGGTCAGTTCACACCTACCTTTTCGCTGCTGTTTCTGGAGTTCTCTGGCTTCACCAGGATGGATGGCGGGGCAGACGCAGGCGGTTTGAGGGGAGGCTCACTCTTGATGGGGATTTCCTTGCCTTCCATGATGATGGAGCTGGCAGTCGAGTGGATCCTGGTCTCACTGCCTCTGCTGATGCACGTGAGGGCAGGCTCCCCCGGGGGAGCCGGCTTGGGTCCCATCTCCGCCACCACCATCAAGGGTGAGGAGGAGACCGCCTGTGGCTGGTGGAACTGGAACTGCTGAGGCCGGACGACCATGGTGGGGCTGCGTCTGAGGGAGCCCACCACAAGGGTGGGGATCCCTGACGGGATGGGTCTCTGCAGGGATCCATCTGGGGAGTCACATGACAGAGATATCAGCAAAGGGGTGGGGGTGGGGGGAGGAGGGACGGGGTCGGGGGTGGGGCAGCAGGCTGGGTTGGGGCTGGTTGAGCAGTGTGTCCTGATATCCCAGAATAGTTAAGTGCTTTCTCAATCTGACCGCACGGACATTCTCTCAGGGTCTTTCCAAGGTGACCTTGTTCTTTTTTTAGTGCTGTTTGCTGATGCTGACAGCAAATAACCAGCTAGCTGAATGTTGGGGGCGGGTGTCTGAAGGTATGTTACTCTTCTCTCTCTCTCTCTTCATATTTCTCTGTCTCTCTCTCTCTCTCTCTCTCTCTCTCTCTCTCTCTCTCTCTCTCTCTCTCTCACACACACACACACACACACACATTCTCACTCCTACTCTCTCCCTCCAGACCTTTAAGATGGAAAGTGAAGAAGGTAGACCTAGAGACAGTTTCAACAGAGGTGTGCAGACCAAAGAGGAAACAAAAGCCAGAGAATGAGAGAAAATGAGAAGAGAAACTGAGAAACACAAGTGTCAACTGAGAGGGAGGAAGAGAGGGAGGATAGGAGGGGAGGGGATTCCTGCCAGCTACTTGCAGAATATGCTAACAAAAGCTTTAGCTCCCTGGTGGTGGGATTGCTTTTAGCTGGGCTTCAGGGTGGGTGGGGGGATACTGAATGAGAGGGTGTGCAGGCGGATGTGGCACCAGATGGAAGCAAATCTGGAAAGGTGACTCCAGAGGGAGGTGTGTGTGGCTGAGCCTGGCAGAGCCCCTGACACTGGAATCAGATCTCCCAGGGAGCCTGGGACAGCTCCATGCCCTCAGCCCCCTCATTTGTAAACCGGAACTAATAGCAGTGCCCCATAGGGCTGGCGAGATAATTGTGTTTTATGATGTGTTCAAAGTGTTAGGGCCGTGCCTGGGACTTAATAAATGGCCCATGATTGTTACACATCATTTGTGGGCAAAGGATAGCGAGGTCCTCCCAGCTGGTGTGACTTAGTGTTTGAGTGTTGACCTATGAAGCAGGAGGTTTCAGTTCGATTCCTGGTCAGGGCACATGCCCAGGTTGCTGGCTGATTTCCAAATGTGGGACAAGCAGGAGGCCACCAATCAATGAGTCTCTCTCATCATTGATGGCTCTGTCTTTCTCCCTTCCTCTCAGAAGCTAATAAAAATAAAAATAAAAATAATAAAAAAATGCAAGGTCCAGGAGTTTGGTTTTGCCCCTTCCCTAAGCTCTTTTCTCTTTGTTAACAGAGGTGATTCCCTCTCATTAAAAAGCTATTCTGCTCACATGCCCTGGAGACATGAGCTCCTGATTATTCCTGTAGGTTACTGGGGAATAATCAGGAGCTCATGGCACTCGGGGGGCAGGTGGGAGAGACCCCCCTGAGAAGCATTGTGGCCATTTCTCCATAAGGGTCTCCAGCACTGAGAGGCACAGGTGGCGTGGGTGGGTCATTTGTGTCCAGTAAAGGGGGCCGCGCTGAGGCCTTGTTCTGCGCTGTGACTCTGTCAAGCCAGACGTGAACATGAAAAGCAGAATGCTTGCCACTCACTTTTGGCCTTCTCAGCCGCTGTGAGCAATCCAGTCACTATTTACAAGTCTGACCTTTCCAAAACGACATTTATTTTGCCACGGTCAGCCCTGTGAGGTCATTTCTGCTGTCATTTCTCTTCGCTTCGGGGAGACTGAGAGCTTGACCAGCTTCACCTCCAGAAGGGGAGAGAGAGAGAGAGCCTCCTGGATCTGGCAAAGTCAGAGCAGACGTGGCCTCGGGCTCCCGGAAACGTGTAAAAAATTGGTTTTATGCTTTACCTATTTATTTTGTTGGTTCCTAACTTCCAAGAGAGCTAATGCTTTCTCATTGCACGTGAGTACAATGCAAATAGTCAGAACTCCGAGTTAACCAAGATGTGGGCAAAGGCAAAGAGCGAGCCCCTGAAAGGAGGGAGAGCTGGTGGGATGCACTGCCTGCTTCTGTAAGTGATCCAGGCTGAGACTCCATGAGCACAGGCTCCGGATGGAGCAGAGAGACTCTGCTTAGTGGCAGTAGCAGTGATGAGACCAATAAAATAATCCTATATAATAAAAGCCTAATATGCAAATAGACTGGATGGTGGAATGGCCAGCAGAACGGCCAGTCGCTATGATGTGCACTAACCAACAGGGGGCAGACACTCAATGCAGGAGCTGCCCCCAGCCCGCAGACCCCAGGCCAGCCAAGGCGGGTGCCAGTGGGGGCCCCCTGATTGCCCTGCCAGTTGCGCCACAGATTGGCCCCGATGGCTGGCCAGACCTGTGGACCCTACCCATGTGTGAATTTTGTGCATCAGGCCTCTAGTAATACTATAAAATAGAATTTCTTGAGAGCTTATCACAGGCCAGGCGCTGTGCCATCCATCTTATGTGGATTATTTTATTAAATCCATACAATAACACTGACGAGGTTGGTATTGTTTTTATTTCCATTTTAGAAATGAGAGAACTGAAGACTGAAGAAGTCAGTAACTGGCCCAAGGCTGTTATGGTGGGATTAATTAGTGTGTGTGTGTGTGTGTGTGTGTGTGTGTGTGTGCGCGTGTATGTGTGTGTGTAAGGGTGTGGATAAGGTGGAGGTACTGGAGGGAGAACCAGGGAGGGCAGTCAGTGGAACTGAGAGGCAGGTGTGGTGGCACTGAGGTCCAGCAGGTGACCAGATGAAAGCACTGGGAGTGGGGGAGCTAAGATATGAAGTTTCTGGGACATTTTCCTGAGTGGCATATTGTCTCACTGTTTTGCTCTGACTATTCAGTCTTTAAAAAAAAAATATATTTTATTAATTTTGTACAGAGAGGAAGGGGGAGAGACAGAGAGTTAGAAACATCGACAAGAGAGAGTCATCGATCAGCTGCCTCTTGCACACCCCCTACTGGGGATATGCCCGCAACCAAGGTACATGCCCTTGACCGGAATTGAACCCAGGACCTTTCAGTCCCCAAGCCGATGCTCTATCCATTGAGCCAAACCGGTTTCGGCTGACTATTCAGTCTTATTGCATCTTCACACTGAATTATTATTATTTTTTTTAAGATGCAGAGTCCAGCTCAAATCAAAGAGCACAGAATGAATCCAGTTTACTTAGCTTGGCTCATTGTCACTTTCTAGGAAGGTGTATAAATAAATAACAGAATCTTGCTGTTTTGTAGGACAATGGGTTTCAAATACTTTATAAAACCCCTGAAAAGGAGGCCTTGTGTAGAAGGTCAGTGTGTTAGGAGATAAAAACATGGCTTTTAAGAGGAAAGCTCTATATCACTGCCATGTGTGCAGGTGGCTGTTATATGGGTGAAAATAAAAGCAAGGTGCAGGACAGTGCAGTGAGCATGATGACAAGGTACAGAAATACATAGAAGAGAACTTGAGACTGGAGGTTAAGGATATGAAAAAGACTTAATTTTGTACAATACAATATAATTCTTTTTTTCTCTAACCTCATGCAGAGATTAGTTAAATAACAAAATGGAATTCAGTGGCTCTTAGCCTTGCCTTCTTAACTTTCTTTTCCTTCTGACACCCCTGAGGGGTTCCCTGGAACATAATTTGAGAAGCACTGCTCCAGCAAGTGCTTTGGTTGTCTCTCCCCCCCCCCCCCTTTTTAAAAAATAATATATATTTTATTGATTTTTTTACAGAGAGGAAGGGAGAGGGATTAGAAACATCGATGGGAGAGAAACATCGATCAGCTGCCTCCTGCACACTTCCCCCTGGGGATGTGCCCGCAACCAAGATACCTGCCCTTGATGGAATCAAACCTGGGATCTTTCAGTCCAAAGGCCGACGCTCTATCTACTGAGCCAAACCAGTTAGGGCTGGCTGTTCCCTCTTAATGAAAGCCAGCATCCACCTTGGCTGTGTTCTAATTACAGGTTGGCACTCAGGGCTGCCATCATCCCAGTCAGTCAACATGCATGTAGGAAGTGACCGGAGGGCAGTGACCTTGAGTCGATCAGTCTTCATCCAATAGGACAGCTCAGTATTTGGAAATCACAAAAAAACCCAAAAACAACAAAACAAAACAAAACAAAAAACCCTCCACAGATACTTGTTTTAAAGCCAAGATCCTTGTTTTTTTTTTTGTTTTTGTTTTTTTTCAGGAAGCACTCTGTCCACCTTGGTTAATACTCCACCCCACCAGCCACTTAGCTCTAGGCACATACCTCTCTGCCACCACTTACTCTTTCTCATACTGCTCCGCCCTTTCCGGAGAGTGCTCTGTCCTGAAGTGCCCAGGCTGGCTGTGCTCCGCACGGGGTTGACTATGGCCGTGGGCACAAAGACGGACTTGAAGGGGCGGCTTTGTCGGGGATCACCTTCTGAAATGCTGCCTTGGGAGGACACAGAGGAGGTCGACAATGTCCATGTGGCGTAGAGACCAGGGCTCCGGGAGTCTGGAAAACTAGATGTCTTTCTGGGTGTGGAAATTGTTTTAAAAAGAAACAGAGAAAGCAAATGGTCAGTCAAGAGCCCTATTTAAAAAACCTACCAGCTCCCCTGATGTGGTTCTGCTTTACCCTCTTTCTACCCATAAATACGCTTTTTGTCAACAACATGGGCTTAACAACCTAGCCTCATCCTACACTTGCTGACTGTGGGAGCTGAGGGAGGCAGAGGCTCTCATAAGGGTCGTTTACGTGGTCACCTGGCTTTGTCCATTCAGGGGCTTATCCACTCGATTCTAACTCTCTGAAGGCAGAGATTTTATATGACTTACGTGTCTTTGCAGACCTTAATTGTGAAAAAACTAGTAGCCCTGCACACGAATCTGTGCACCAGTGCTCACCAGTAGCTCACTGCCACCCTCCAGTAGCTCTCCAACCACTGCCCCGCCCTCCTGTAGCTCCCATCACCCTTTGCGCCCCCCCCCCCCAATAGCTTGCTGCCCTGCCCCCTCCTGTAGCTCTCTGTCTCACACTTGTAGCTCGCTGCCCCACCCTCCTGTTGATCTATAATCCAGTCATTACAAGGTCTGTCCTTATGCTTCATGGCATAACGACCATTTGCATATTACATCTTTATTATATAGGATGTTTGCTGAATGGCTGCCATGATGCTTTTAGCCCTGATGCCAGTCATTCTGGCTAACGCATATTGAGCTCTTACTGTATGCCAGGCAATAGCCAAGGGCTTTGCTCACATGATCTCATGGATTCTTCACAAGAGCCCTTTGAGGCAGGTTACTATGAGTGCTGCTATTTTATAGATGAAAAAAAAAAAAAAAAAAAAAAGAGAGATTTAGAGGTACTTGTCCCAGCAACTACTACTCTACCACTGAGTGACATGACCTGCGCTCTCACCACTGCATAGGCTACCTTGGGGCTAGTTAGAGCATTCATCATTTGGTAGCAAGGAAAGCCTGCATCCTGCTTGAGAGAAACTGAGTAAAGCAATGGTGGCCCTACATGTGCCACCGTGAGACACTAATTCTTCAGCCTCAGGGTCTGGTTTTTAATGCTAGTATTCACATTTTGTAAAACAGCAAGCAACTCCTCCTCCGTTGTCCCCAGCCCACAGGTCCCCGAACCCCGTGGGGAATGGCTGTCAATCTACATGCCCTTCTTGCCCTTGTGCCAATCCTCCCCCAACAGCACAGCCTTGCCTAAGCAGCCCATCCATCACCTTGTCACTCTGCTGATGAAATAACCTCGGCTAATTACCTGGGAATAGCTGACTTGACCATGGCCCCCGGCACAGAGATGCCCTCCTCCCTCCTAGTTTTCTGCCTGTCAGTGCTTCCAGGTTTCTCTTTGGGTAATTTCCTCCTTTTCTCTCATTTTGTTTAAAAGTAATATGTAGTTTAATAATGTTGTACAAAGATGAATGTAGCCAATCCTGCCCAAGGAGGCAGTTGATAGATCTTATACTCTCACATTGATGTTTCTCCCTTCTCCCTTTCTCTCTTTCTCCCTCTCTCTCTCTCTCTCTCTCTCTCTCTCTCTCTCTCTCTCTCTCTCTCATAGATAAGTCTGGGTTCAAATCTCACCACACCAACTCGCTGAATGAGTGACTAGGCAGGCTTCTCCAAGCCTGGTTCCTTGTCTGTAATGTAGCCAATCCTGCCCAAGACACATATGCAGCCCGATGCGCCAGGAGCTGATGCCTGCAGCCAGGGGACTTTGTCCATAGCCATCAACCTGCCTCTGGTCCCTAGTGACGCGATCAGTGCAGGGGAGTGGGCTGCCCATCAGGAAGAACCCACACTACACTGTGCACACCTCCTCGCACAGAGGGCTGGAGCTCTACGTGGCACAGCAGCCTTTCCCTCTCTTGGTGATGAAGGCTCACTTGGTGAATCTTTAACCCAAACCCTGGCATTTGGTCATCTCTGGTCTATGCATAGTTGGTCCTCAAACTGGCTGGCTCAGTCCGTAAGGGGATGGTGCTAATGAGAGCCATGGTTCAAATGGTCAGGGTGCACCTCACACCTTTGAGCCCTGCCTGTTGGTAAAAGAGGGCACCACCCAGCAAGGGGGGCTGGTGCCTGTGCAGAGCCACCACTGCAAACAGAAAACAGTGGGGGTGAGGGAACTTCACACACACAGAACCAAAGAGCAGGAACACAAGTGTCCAACTCACTCAATTCCAACACAACCTGTTTAAAGTAGCAGAAACCCGGCTGACAAAGACAGCATCATTCAGCCCTAAGGAGGGGGAGGGACTAAACTTCTCACAGTGGAAAGGGTGGATAAGAATAAGGGTGAGCTGCCCCCAGACAGACAAATGAACAAATGTCATCCACGTCCAAGATGAGTGGGGACAGGAATTTCCTCTGTGTCAGGGGGGCTATAGGAAAACATGTCCACACAGAGAGCACTGACCCTCTGTCTCCTTAGGAGGATGTACTGTGGCAGGGACTTTTCTTGGAAATGCAGGCTCCCTAGAAGCAAAACCACCCGTCAACATAGGTAGCACCTCAGTACAGGAGAATGATCAGATGACTGTGAGCTGGAGTGGGGAGATGGACTGGGTGGCAGTCTAGTGTTGAGATTCTATCCATGACTGAAATGGAGCCACATTGAAGGGCATGAGTCTAGATGCTCTTGATGTGCCCGAGGCCACACAGGAGAACAGCCAGGGAGGAGAGAGAGAGTAGCTGAAGCTCTGAAACACACTTGAATGGAATTCTATGTGTATTCGAGTTAGGGCGACCAATTTTTCCAGGAGAGTCTCTTTACACCTGCTGTATTAAGAGTGTCTCTCGGAAGAAGAAGGAAAAGATAAAAAATATGAACCATAAAATAGCAGTAAATCCATATCTATCAACAAATGAATCTAAAAATAAATGAATAAGTAATCTAATGAAGAGAATAAACTAGTGAATAAAATAGAATCAGAAGCATGGAAATAGAACAGGCTGATGATTCTCAGAGGGAAAGAGGGTAGGTGGCCAGGAAGAGATTAAACAAAGATCTTATATGCATGTAAGCATTTTCTATGGACACAGACTATAGAGTGGGAGTGGCGGGGACCAGGTGAAGGGGATTAATGGGGGGAAAAAAAGAGGAATATCTGTTATACTCTCAATGATAAAGATAAAAAAAAAAAGAGTGTCCCTCTCTTCTCTTAAAAGTGTCCTATTTTGGATGATAAATTATATGGTTACTCTTTTTTTTTTTTTTTTTAAAGTATGTTTTGTTTTTTTTAAATTGATTTCAGAGAGGAAGGGAGAAGGAGAGAGAGGGAGAAACATTAATGATGAAAGAAAAATCATTGATCAGCTGCCTATTGCACAACCCCTACTGGAGGTCGAGTATGAAACCCAGGCATGTGCCCTGACGGGGAATCAAACTATGACCTCCTGGTTCATGGGTCAAAGCTCAACCACTGAGCCACACTGACCAGGCATGACCTCCTGGTTCATGGGTCAAAGCTCAACCACTGAGCCACACTGACCGGGCATGGTCACTCTTATTCTGTCAGTTCTTCCATGGCATAACCAAGACTATGCTAAGGCCTAGTGCCTAAGCAAATGCCCTGGTAGTACACACATGGCCCTAGAGCAGTGGTCGGCAAACTCATTAGCCAACAGAGCCCAATATCAACAGTACAACGATTGAAATTTCTTTTGAGAGCCAAAATTTTTAAACTTAAACTTCTTTTTCTTTTAAAGATATATTTTTTATTGATTTTTTACAGAGAGGAAGGGAGAGAGATAGAAAGCCAGAAACATTGATGAGAGAGAAACACCGACCAGCTGCCTCCTGCACACCCCCCACTGGGGATGTGCCCGCAACCAATGTACATGCCCTTGACCAGAATCGAACCTGGGACCTTTCAGTCTGCAGACCGACGCTCTATCCACTGAGCCAAACCGATTTCAGCTAAACTTAAACTTCTTTTAATGCCACTTCTTAAAAATAGACTCTCCCAGGCTGTGGAATTTTGTGGAAGAGCCACACTCAAGGGCCAAAGAGCCACATGTGGCTCGCAAGCCGCAGTTTGCGGACCACAGTCCTAGAGAATTCATGTTAGAGCCCACAGAAGAAACTATTCACGAGTTAGGGTAGGTGTCCTCCTAGCTCCTCAGTATCACTTCTAGACCATTCCCCCACCCTCTGTATCTCCAAGCACTGACATATTATCAGACCCTCCCATCTTGTTGCAGTCATCATTTCTCCTCAGGTCTCTCCTCTCATTCCTGGAAGATTTCAGCTCCAGGCTCACTGCCCTTCTCTCCACTATACCTGATCTTACCAGGGTGATTTCATCTAGAGTTAGGGCTTTCAATGCCACCTCAAGCCTGGACTTCTTCCTTAAATGCTAGACTTGCATACGTAACCACATCTTTATGAGGATTACTAACAGACATTGAGACTTAATCTGCTGCAAACAAAGCATTCGCTTCCCCTCCGTCCCCCAAAACCTGTTCCGATTTTCACCTCCACAGCAAAAAAAGGCAACTCCATCCTACAGTGACTCAAGGCACAGGACTTGGACTCACCTCAAATCCTCTATTCTTTCACACCTGAAATTGGATCTGTCAGAAAATCTGGGGAATAGCCAGAATCCAATCACATCTCCCTCCCTCCATGGCTCACACCCGGTTCAATTCACCATCACTCTCCCCTGGTTTATGATAATATTCCCTTAGTCTTTCTGCTTTGAGCTTTTTGTCTCAACAGTTTATTCTAAAGTCAGCAACTAGAGGAGGAATTCCAGTTCAAACTTACGCTAGATCATGTCATTCTTCTGCCCAAACCCCTGCAATAGGGTTAAAGTCAAATTCATTATGACCTAGAAAATGCTCTATGATCTGACCCCCTGTTACCATTCTTACCTCATCTCCTACTAATCTACCCTCACTGGATTTAACCCAGGCCTGTTGGCCTTCTCGTCAGATGCCTTCCTCCCCTAGGGCCTTTGTTCAGGAATTTGCTGTTCCTTTGGCCTGGAATATACTTCCTTTGGTGATCCACAAGGCTCCCCTCCTCCTTTCCTCATTCCTCCTTCTTCTCAGTAAGGCTATCCCTGACCAACCTATTAGACTCTTAATCACCCCCCGCCACCCCCGCCACACAAAGACAAATTCTGTTCCCCTTTCCTGATTTATTTTTCTTCTTAGCCCTTAGCATTAACATATTCTTATACATCTTGTTTTTGGATCTGTCTGTTCCACTGGTATATAATCTCCTGTGGGCAGGGATTTGGTGTATTTTGTTCACTGGTGTTTTCTCCGGTGTCTAGAAAGGTGACCAACACATGTCACTGGTCAGTGCTCAATAAATACTGGTTGAATAAATGAATTAAAGCATCAGTTATAGACACCCTTAGTTTGCTTTTGGAGATTTTGCTACTTTCTAACAAATTCCAAGAACCTTCCTTTGAAGGATAACTAAGGTCTTCTACCCCAACTTCCTGCCAATCTTTTTTATACAAGCCTGGACTATGGGAACCCAGACTTTGCCTGCACTCTTCCTAGAAAGGGGGTCCTCCATCTCACCTGCTAGCCTGATAGGCAGCCTTTCCTCGAACCATAACCTCCCACTGGTTCACTGCCCCCTCGTGGAATAAGTCTGTTTCCTGGTGGACACAGTCTATGATGGCACCGCTGACCCTTCTTAGTACCTCTTACACAGTAGCCCTTGCTATCGGTTTCTTCTCTGATGTGATTTTGTCTGCTTACCATCCTTGCTGCCCTCCTCCAGACTCAGTGCCTCACCTCTATGAAGGTCCCCCCCAAACTATTGACTCCAGGAGTGATCCCCAGAGCATACCCTGAGATAATCACTTTACTTATGATTCTCTGGCATGTCATAAAGACTGCATTTGGTGTGGTGATGGCCTCACTGCCTTGGCTTTGCCTGAGCTGGTGAGGGTACAGGTAGCAGGAGGCGTGGGTAGCTTGGGAGTTTGTGTGCATTGAGGTTGTGGTGGGAAGTGGCTAGACAAACTGTGGGCCAGGGAAATCAATAGGTATGGCAGAGATGACAAAGGTTGAAACCTGCAGGGTAACCTGGAGTGTGGATGGACAGGGAGTAGTCTGAATTCACAGAAACTCTGCTCATGGCCCAACTTCTGGGAAGGTTCCCGAGGTCCTCTGGGTGGTCATCCAGCCATCACATTGCCCCATCCTGCCACTAGATGGAGTGTTGAGGTGGAGGATGTGAAGTGGGATTTTTGGCATTTGTACAGAAAATCTGAAATCTAGATCCTGGGCAGGTTGCTTAACTCTGTACATCAGTTTTCTCATTTGTAAAAGAATATGTACCTTAAAGAGTTCCTGGGCATAGCTAATGAGTTAAAAAATGCAAAAGTGCTTGTAAACTGGAGAACTATAAAAAAGACAACTAATGCCCAGCTGGTATGGCTCAATAATTGAGTGTTGACTTATGAATCAGGTCACGGTTTGATTCTTGGTCAGGGCACATGCCTAGGTTCTATCCTCAGTGTGGGGCGTGCATGAGGCAGCCGATCAATGATTCTCTCTCTTCATTGATGTTTCTATCTCTCTCACCCTCTCTCTTCCTCTCTGAAATCAATAACAACAATATGTATTTTTTTTTTTTAAAACAACTATTTTAACTATAGACAAGTTTTTACAATTAAAATGTTAGGGTAAAAGCTGTTTCTTGTTTCCCACTCGGTAAGAGCATTGAGTTGTTCAATAATTCAACCATCTCCAAATGGCCCCGGTCTAGAAGACACCTCCCCCGGGTACCTGGGGTTGGAGGGAACATACCTGAAAATGGGGATGACGTAGTTGTTGGGGAAGATGCCCACTCGCCCGGTGACCAAGGAGACGCCCTTGAGCCAGCCGTCCTGGTACTTCCCCAGGACCCTGATGCCTTCTCCCTTCTGCAGGTCCAGCTCATCAGGTCCGTGGGCGGAGTAGGAGTGCAGGGCTACAAACCTGAGGGGACACAGGGCACTGGTGAAGGACAAAGGGGTACACCTCTAGGGGAGGGCAGGGGAGTGGCGAAGGGTGAAGGGAGATGGAACCTTCATCCCAGTGGTTAGCGATAGCTACCTTGCAAAACTGAAACCTCAGTATGTAAGGCAGATAAAGATAACAGAGAAGCTGGTTGAAATAGCTGAGGGGCCCGATCCCTGCCCTCTCCATGTCCCCCCACCTTCACAGAATGTCACACAACTGCAAGTCACTAGTTTAAGCTACACCAGCATTTTGACAACGGGACACTGGCCTACAAGTGGAGATAGGAGCTGGTGACCAGAAATTAGTGGCAGCGGGTCTCAGCCCCAGACGTGATGGATCTACCCAGGCTGCTTTCTCAGTCTGCTTAGAGGGTTGCCCAAGAACATACGTGCAGCCAGCAGGCTCAGGGAAATGTGAGGACGGCTGGAAGCCTCCATCCACTCCCTCTCCTGAAAATAGAAACCTGTTTGCCCCCAGGAGATAGCTTAACGTAGGCAGGGAAGTGGGCACTGGGCTGGGGATGGGCAGGGTTAGCTCTAGTTCTTTGGCACACAGCGGAATGCTGGCTGCACAGTGGGATGGAGGGGAATGGGCTTACTATGCTGAAAACGCCCTCAGGTTAGAGCAGGGATTTTCCACGGTGAACTCCACACAAGAGTCGGGTGGGTCACATCCAGGTATGAGTCGGGGATGAAGACACTGGGAAATAGTGAGGCCGTGGAATGAGAATACCTGCTGACTAAAGGCATTAGAAAATAACTCACTTGGCATGCCAGCTTTAGGGGCTACTGGTGTATGGCCCTCAGGCTAGACCTTAACAAGTCCTTCTAGATTCTAAGGACTGTGAGACACTGGGAGGTTTTATTAGATGGGTGGAGAGTTCTCATTTGCAAGTTCTTCCGCCTAGAAAATGTACATTTTTTTTTAACTGATTACTAAAGCAACATCTATTTATAACCCAACATGAATCTAAAGAAAGACAGTAGAAATTGCTCAGTACACAATTTCCCAGCATTGTTCTGGTATATAACCTTCTAGTCTCTTTCTACTTTGTGAAATAATGAGCTAGGATGATGTGCCTAATTTGTACTTTTCACCATTATTTCCATTGGTGATTTTAAAGGAAGGGAAGCCATTGTCTCTCTGGATGGGAAGGCTTCGGAGTGCTCAATGGCAGAGGAATGGCTAAGATGACCCCTCTGCACCAGGACCGGGTGGAGGGCTGATCATTTTACTCACATGTTAGCTGAGAGGTGCTGCTGGGAGCCAGGCAGACTGACGATGGCCATGGAATGTCCTGGGGAGGCAGGAGTGGCGTGATACATGCTGACCTACACAGACAGAAAAGACAGCCATGCTGAGTCAGAGAGTGACACAAGCCAGGCCCACAGCAGAGCTGCTCCAGAAAGGCCTGATGCAGCTGGAAATCAAGAGTTGTGCCCGGCACTACCCATCATGGGCAGTGTCTGTGGTTTGTGGGAAGAGCAGGGTGGGATTACATTGGTTTATGTCCTGGGGAGGTGGGGGATGGGGAGGTGGCTTGCCAAGGCTGCATTCCAAGATTATTCAGGTAAGACCGAGAATGAAGACCAGTTGGGTTTACAGTCAACAGGGCACTGCCAGACTCCTGGATCAGTCCCTGCTGGCCCCTCCCCACCCATCTCCCAGGGCATGCACTCCCTTCTCTCTATGAAAACCTGCTCTCAGAATATGATACAATGGCTAATATTGATAGAGAACTTAGCACTTGCCAGGCACTTTGAAGTGCTCTACAGGCAAAGGCCACCTTTATTAAAGGTACTGTTATTCCCATTTTTGGATAAGGAACTGAGAGAAGGAAAGGTCACCTAACTAGTATGAAACAAAATGTAAAACCAGGTCGCCTCGATCGCCCCCTCATCCCTGCCTCCCAGCTTACCTAATGACTTATGGAAGGTGAATCTGAACCCTTTTCACATTTTTTTTTCCAGGACAAAAGAGGGAGCAACAAAGGTATAAGCTCCTGGAAACTGTCTACTCTCCTGGGACCTTGCCTGTTATCTAACCGGCTACCTTGCCTAGTTCCTTCTTGGCACATATCACAGACTGTGATCATTTCCTTATTTACCAACTATCCCTCCACTAGGCTCTAAGTTCCATGAGGCAGGGACTGAGTCTTATTCATCACTATATTTCTTATGTGCTCAATATATTGTTGTGGCTTAAAGAACAAGTGAATGAAAAAGTTTTCCTACCAAGGACTAATGAAACCTCGTCCATCTCCATGCCATTCAATCTGTCTCAGTTACCTACCCATAAGTGATGGTCATTATGTATGTGTGCCCTTTTGGGACTCTGGTTTTGAAGGCTACTGCTGAGTCTGAGTGTTTGGGCACATGTGAATGCCTCACTGAGTGCATCTGTCTCCGGCTCTCTGTGCAAGTGAGTATGTTTGTTCAGAATCCATGACAGTTGTATGTGGATGTGTGATGGCATTGATCTATTATATGTCTAATTATGTTCATATATGTGGGTCTATAAATTGATATGCACATATGCCATGTGTGATTATATGTATGTATGGTTTTATATATGACTATAAGTATCTATCTTGGATTCTGTGTAGTTGTGTACGAACTTTAGAGCTGTATGCAGGCATGTATGACTATAGTGTTGATGGTTGTGTAAACGTATGTGATTGTGAAATTGTTAAAATTCAGTCATAGGATCAGAAACCATCCTAGTCATGTAATAACCAGTGTTGGTGGTAATGTAGAGAAACTGAAACTCTTATACAGTGCTGATGGGAATGTTAAAGTCTGGCAGTTCCTCAAATGATTAAACATAGAATTACCATATTACCTAGTAAGTCCAGTCCCAGTACATACCCAAGGTCACACAAATAATTTGTACACAGATGTTACAGCAGCATTATTCATAATAGTCAAAAGATGGCAATAAACCCAAATGTCCATAGACTGACAAACAGATATACAAAATGTGGTATATCCATGCAATGAAATATTACTCAGCCATAAAAATAAATTATTGATACAGGCTAGAACATGGTTAAGTCCTGAAAACATTTTGCTAAAAGAAGCCAGATGCAAAAATACTACATTACATGGTTCCATTTACATGAAACATCTAGAATAGGCAAGTCTATGGAACTAGAACATAGATTAGAGGTTTTTAGAGACTGGGGGACAGAGGTAGACATGGGGGTGATAGTTAATGGGTGTGAGAGTTAAAGGGCACAAGGTTTCTCTTTACTGTGATGAGATGTAAGATTGCAGTAGTAATGGTTGCAAATATCTGTGGATATACATAAAAGCCACTGACTTGTATGCTTTAGAAAGTTGGATTGTATGGTATGTGAATTCTATCTCAATAAAAGTCTTTAAAAAAAACCACATTCCATTCCATGGTCACACATCTGAGGCTAACACTTCGTCAAGTGTTCTGATCTTGGCAATAAAATATTGTCACACTGGTTCCCTCAAACAGAGATGAAAAGGTTTTGGCTCTGGGCTGGGCAGATCCTTCCCAGTGACTGGGTAAGGTAAATCCCTGCAGGGCTTGGGAGCTGGGCCAGGGGAGCCTTGTTATGCGAATAACTAATCTTATGTTTGCAGAGACTGTTGAAGCACTGATTAAGCAGCATGAACTTCACTTAGCACCCACGACTTTCCAATGTTATGTTTGCGTAAAAAGTCCTTCCATCCATAAACACTCTTAACCTTTAGGGAGGAGGGAGTTGCCAGAATGCAAAGCCATCTCCTCCACTGCACTGGGCTCGCTCTCTTTTTTTCTCTAGGCCTTCCTGGAGAGGGCCTATTTGTTACATGGTATCAGGCCAGGACTGAAATTGGTGGGCTTGTGATGGAATTCTTTCTAATATAGAACAGTAAGGGAGGTCAGAGTCTCAGATTTTGAGGTGTCTTGGAGGGGAAGGGAGAACATGAGTGGAGGAAGTGGAGGAAGAGGAGGGAGAGAGGGGGAAATAGTGGTTGACTCTGAGAGTGGGGAAGAGACAGAGGCACAGACAGAGGCTTAATGAGAGAAAAAGAAGAGTTCAGAGGGATTGAAGAGAGAAGGGAGAATAAAGGGAAAATTTGAAAAAGATGAGAAAAATTCTGACCACTCATTAAAAAAAAAATGACAATACAATAAGAAAAGAGCAAAAACAAGATATATAAAATGGCCAATAAGTACATAAAAGATGATCAGCATCAATAATTATACAAAAATGCAAGTAAAACCACTATGTGATACCACTATAAACCTAAGAGATTGGCTAAGATGATACTGATGGACCATACCAAGTGTTAGTGAGCATGTGGAGCAATGAGAACTCATATACTGCTTGTAGGAATGTAAAATGGTGCCACCACCCTGGAAAATAGGTTGGCCATTTAAAAAAAAAAATAAAGCTTAATATACATTTATCATGCTACTCAGCAATCCTACTCACAAGTCTTTATCAAAGAGAAATGAAAGCATGTCCATACAAGGACTTGTACATGAATGTTCACAGTGGCTCTATTCATTTCAGACAGAAACTGGAAACAACCCAAATGCCAAGCAACTGGTGGTTGAACAAACAATTGTAGTTTAACGACAGTGGCATATGCCTCAGCAATACATGCAATGACATACGTGACTCTTAACATCATCCTAAATAAAAGAAGCAGGACATCCAGGACTACATGTTCTATAATGCCATTTATATGACATTCCTAAAAAGCCAAAACTATAGTGACAGAAAACAGATGAAAGATTGCCAAGAGCCAGGGGTGGTGAAAAAGGATTGCCAAGGCAGAGCCCAAACTGAATTCACGAATGAATGGGTGAATGTCTGATTGGAGTGCCAGGAAAAGAGAGGAAGATAGGCAAAGGCAGGGAAAGAGGAAGACGGAAGCAGACAGAAATGAAGGCCCTGTTTGGGAAATGAAGACAACCACATAGGTCGAAGGCCAGCTTCTGAGGAGGCAGGTCTGTTACTGCCCCTGGCATCGAAGATGGAGGCCCAGCCCTCCTGAGTGAGAGAGCCTAGTGAGCGGTTCCCTGTCAACTGTGACCTCAAGTCCCCAGGCCCTAGAGGTCTGAGGCCAGATGTGAGGTCCTCCAGCAACGGGTACTTCCTGGCACAGGGCTTGGGGATGTGAGCAGATTAGAGAGTGGGTGTAGATTTGAGGGTATTTCTGCTACAATCTAAAAACATTTTTTCTTCCTTTTGAAGGATATGACTCATTTAGAAAAGTCTTTATCAGAAACAGAAGCATCCACAGCTGTGTGGCCTCTGGGTGTTTTCAGGTCTTGAGGTGTTGAATGAGGGAGGAAGGTGGCATGGAGCCTGGCACAGCATTGTTACAACATTCCGCTGGCCCCAGCACCTCTCCCAGCAGCAACCAGGCATGGAGAATGCGGCTCCCTCTCTGGGCCTGGACAGGAGATCTAGCTTCATGCTGAGGCATGTGGCTCTAGTGTTTACCAGGATGTGTGATCTTGGGCAAGTGATGGCATTCTGGGGATCTTCCATTTCCTCACCTGGCATCTCTCTCCTAGAGTTGTTATCTGGATGAAATAGCACAACCCATGTAAGCTTAAGTTTAGCACATGTAAGTGCTCAACGAACATGACTTATTTGGATCTGCGAGGAGGTTAGCTGCTGCATATAGTGTGTGGATGGTGTGGATGAAGCACTTCTTTTTATGCAGCGGCTCTGCAAGGCCTTGGCCTGAGAGCAGGATCCCAGAGTTTAGTGGGAGAGGGGAATAAGCAGCCCCACCCCTCTCTTCTGGAGGAAGATGTCCTCAGATTTTCAAAATGTCCCCCTCCTAGCCCTACTGTGGCATGAAGCTATTTCCTCCAGGGCTCATGCCTTGGTGGGCACGGGGTGACTGTTTCCTCATAGAGTGTGGCCCATTCCAGAGGGGCCCATTGTGGTCCTGCATCTCAGGATCCCCAGCAGCTAACAGGGGCCTTAACCTACATAGTCTTCCTTCAGGGTTGGGAGATGAGTTGCATTTTAGAAATAGAAGATTATTTGGTAGCTTCTGTACCCACCACTGTGGATAATCTGGAGTTGACCATTTGTTTTTATAAAATTAAAAACTCTTTCCTCTGTAGATCAAGAGACTTAAGAGCCACATGCAGGAATTGCAATGTGTGAACCTTATTTGGCCCTAAGCACTGGGGTTAATGCAATGAGCAAAACACACAAGGCCCCTCCTTCCCCATGTGGTACTCACCAAGTGCATGGGGGAGGCAATTAAACCCATAATTATATAAGCGCAGTGCATGTTGGGAGGGAAAAGTTCAAGGTGCTCTGGGTGCCGTCGTGCCAGGA